GCCTTCTCCACCTGCGGGTCTCACCTCTCCGTGGTCTCCCTGTTCTACGGGACAGCATTTGGCGTGTACCTCAGCTCTGCTGCTACCCACGACTCCAGGGACAGTGCAACAGCCTCGGTGATGTACACAGTGGTCACCCCCATGCTGAACCCCTTCATCTACAGTCTCAGAAACAGGGACATAAAGCAGGCCCTGGTGAGGATCTTCAGCTGCAGAGCAACTCCAACGTGATGGGGGCCGCTTCCTCAGATCGTCTGGTCGGGGGCAGCAGGGCTCACAGTCCACAGATTAAGTCATGATCCTGTCCTCAGTCAGTCAGAGATAATCTGTGGTTTGTCTTAGGAGCAGAGTTTGATATCACTCTTTTATACATTATTAATATGTTTTCTGTATTTCCTTAATTATTTTTAACTGTTCTGTATAATGAGTTCCATATTAAGAGAAGCATGGTGTGCCTGAATTTTTCTTTAATAAAATGTTTCAATCAAGAAATTGGGCATTTACAAAATAATAAAAAGAAATGAAGGAAAAAATATGTACAACCGTGTCAGGTAAAAGCAAACAATTACAGTATATCTGAGGGAAAATCTAGTCAAAACAAAGTATCCATTAGTGTCATCCCTGACTCTGTCATTCCTTCAGTTGGGTTCTTTGTTGCTGACCCATAATACTCCAGAACTCTTGTTTAGCTTCTATGGTCAGACATGCAGACCTTACAGTGAGAAACTCCTTTGACTTCTCTACCTGGGGAAGCTTTTATTCACATTCATATTTGAATAATTCTGCAGGGTGGAGTGTTCTTGGATTTAGGAGTGTCCTTGTGTTTAGGATTATGAGCACTTCCTTCCTCTCCTGTCCTGGAGGGTGACTGCGGAAAAATCTGAGGAAAACCTAATTTAGATGCATTTGCAATTCACTCTTCTTCAGGTCTTCTATAAATTCTTCTCCTTTTTCTGACTTTTTATAATTCACAGTGGGATGTCACGGTGAAGGTCATTTTCACTTTGAAATTTGGGTGTTATCACTACATCCTGGACATTCATGCTTCTTTCATTCTTTAGGTTTGGAAAATTCTCAGCAATGATGTTTTTGAAGAGTGTCCCTCCTCCCTTCTCCTTCATCTTCTGGGTTATCGACTATCCCTATGTTTCCACTTCCAGTTGAGTCTAACATTTTCTGTAGTGTTTCCTTCTTTTCCCGTGTCTGTCTTATTTCTCTCTGTTTTCCTAATTATGTGATTTATACATTTGGATCCTCAAGCTCTGAAGTTATTTTGTTTGCCATTTTAGTTCTACCTAAAACACTTTCTATATTTGTGTTCATTTGCATTCAGAGACTCTTTTGTGTTCTCTTAATCTTGTCATCTCTTTGGTGAAGACTCTCTGGTTCTTTATCTTCTCTCTAAGGTCTCGCAGCTGCCTGTCTGCCCTGAGTCACCTCCCATAACTCACGGTGTATTTAATATTGTTGCTTCAAGTCACTGAGACTCCTCTGCTTCTCTCCCCTGTATATGAGTCAGAATTTCTGTTCTGATGCTTTTTTTCCTTCTCGTGCTCAGATGTTCCTTGATTTCTAATTATTTATGTCACCTCATTGCCAGGTTTATAGTGGGTCAGAGTTGACTGCTTCTCTTCTAGTTTACCTTGGCGTGAGGTGGGCAGCGGGAACTCTGGGACTTAAGTATTATCTTAGTTTGTTGAGAAGTGAACTCTGTCACCTCCACCTCCTCCCTCCTCCCTCCACAGAAGCTCCAATTGGTCTTCAACTGTCCTCATCTCCCTCCCCACCTCCTTCAGGTTGTTCCTGCCACTGATCAAGTCTCCTGGTGACTGGAGCTGGGTCTAGTCCACAGGGTTCCATCTCTGGACTCAGCTGGCCTGGATATAAAGGGGGCACCTGATGGGCCATGTGCCCATTGCACCGCTGTGGTCACAGGCAATGACCACCACAGCCACCAGCCCTGCTGTCCACTGAGGGACCCGGGTTGCTAATGCTGCAAGTCTGCTTGATACATTGCAAAGAAGTGCTGTGTTCTCTGTCCCACCGTCCTTTCCCTGCTCTGGGATCCATTACGAAGCCATCTGGTCACTGGTCACTGAGCTCACAGTGTCCCAGGCCAGAAGTGGAAACACTTATTTATGTAGTGTTGGTGGATGTAAAATTGTGCATCTATTATGGAAAGCAATATGTAAAATAACTAATATAAGTTCCCTATGATCCAATTGTCTCACTTCTGAGTATTTAGCTGGAAAATACACACAAAAACCACACATTACAGAGGTGTGTGCCACCCACATTGACTGCAGTGGTTTCACAACAGCCAAGAGGTAGAAACAATCCAAGTGATGGACAAATGGGAAAAAAGATGTGGTAGATGTGTATCATGGAATACTATTTACATAGTAAAAAGATGAAATTGTACAATTTGCACAAGAGAATTATCCTTACTGATATAAGCCAAGCACAAAAAGTCAAATGTCATATCATATGTGATAAAGAAAACAAATAAACAGATCATGTCAATAAAACAAACTATACTTTTGGACTATATAAGAACATTTAGTGGCTAACAGAAAGATGGGCAAAGGGAGGTGATTAATCAGAAACAGAGGGCAATGGTATAATGAAAGGCAAAGTTAAACTTTTGGCAGTGAACTTAATGTTGCATATACACATGATGATTAATAATCATGCATACCTGAAATTTATATGACGTTATAATGCAAGGTTACTTCAGTTCAATAAATAAAAGCTAAATTCAAAAGAAACGGAAAGAATGTAATGGGATGTCTCCTTTAATAAATAGCTTTGTATTGAAATGAACTTACATTTCAACGTGAATAATGATTTTTTGCATTATAAAATTAAATATAAAATTAAGGAATTATAGGACTCATAAGAAATTAGGCATACATACTCCATGGGTCTCTTTATACATAATATACAAAACATTAGGCAGGCTGCAACTGCTGCCTTACATTATTTTTAAAAAAGATGCCCTAAGTCCGTTTTCTGGTGTCTAATAGTGTGGATATAATAAAGGAATATTCAGATGGATGTTTAGATAAATAAATGCCTGAAATAATGTTTTTTATTTTAGGATGAGTTCCACTTATGCCCATATTTTAGGGTTTTCAGCATACATGGATGTTGCATCTAATTGAGGCAATAAACCAGTTCAGTTAAAGTGTCAGGAAATAAACATAAACAAAACCAGCTCCTCCCTATAAATGAACAATGAGTAAGAAGGGGAAAAAATTAAGAAAATGATCCCATTTACAATCATACCAAAATAAATACAAGTTAAAAATGTAGTTAGGAAACTTGAGAAAGGATGTGAATGGCCTGTGTGAAGAAAACTGTAAGACTCTATTAAAAGAAATAGAAAAAGACACAAGGAAATGGAAAGTTATTCTTGCTCATGGACTGGAAGAATGATGATGGCCACAATGAACATCCTCCACAAAGCGCTACACAGAGTCAACGCAACACACGAAATTATCAACAGCACCTTCATGGAATAAAACATACATTACTGACATTCATATGGAACCATAAAAGACCCTGGATAGCAAAGCAACTCTGACAAAAAGGAGAAAAATTACTACAATACCAGACTTCAAACTACACTATAAAGCTATAGTAATTAAAACAATACTGGATGATTAAAATGGTCTGGCAACAATAACAGACACAGAGACCAAAGGGTGAGAATGAAGATCCCAGAAATTACCCAGACTTATAGGAATAGTTAAATCTACACATTAGGAGCCAAGATCAGATACTGGAGCAAGGAGCCTCATCAGTAAATGGTACTGGGAAAACTGCATGCACATGCTAAAGAATGAAACTAGATGACTCCATCTCAAATCACACAAAAATCAATTCAAAATCAGTAAAAGGGGCCTCCCTGGTGGCGCGGGGTTAAGCACCACACTGTGAAGCTGTCCATAGCCTCTCAACACAAGTTCGATCCCCCAGCTGGCCAGGGAGCTACCCACATGGTGCTGCAGACCTCTCCTGACTTGCCTGCTGCTCCCCTCAGCAGTGCAGTTCAGTCACTCTGCCTGTTCTGTTCCCCACTCTGTCTCTGGTAAATCCTCTCACCCTCCCGCCTGTCTGGCCTGTACCCCAGCTCTTGTATGCATAAATAAATGAATCTTTAGAAAAACAAAATGAATAAAAGACTTTGATGTAAGACCCAAAATGATAACACGCATAGAAGAAAACGTGGGCGAAACACTCTTCAAAATAAATTTCAGATGTGTTTGTGGAATCATCCCCAGCAGCAAGGGAAACAAAGGAGAACATGAATAACTGGGATTGTATCAATCAAAATGCTCTGTGCAGCACAAGAACACAGCACTAGAGCACAAGGACGGCCCACTCAAGGGAGGACATATTTGCACAGCGTAATTCTGACAATTAAAGACACGCAAAGAACCTGGGTGTTGAGGTCCTTCCTCTCCTGTTCCACACCACAGAGACATGCCAAGTCAACGTGAGGTACCCAGCTGGTTAGGACACATCTGGTGGACAGAGAGAGGCTACTGGTGCAAGCCCAGTTAGCCATTAGATTCTCTGATGTAACATCGAATTATTTCCCAGAACCTGCCTAACGTGCATAGAGACCTAGTCGGGGGTGTGAAAACATCCCTATTGTGTGTGTGGGAACAAAGTGGACATCAGGATAGGAAAATTAAGGATACTAAGGACAAGAAAGTCTCACAACAAAGTGGATACTAAGGACAAGAAAGTTAAGGAAACTCTACAGTCTTCCAAAGAAGATTTTCAGTACTGAGGCGAGTCGTCACAGTCACCACAAGCCCTTTCTCTGGCTGCTGGAAGAGCAACGGGCGACCCTCACTTGGAGTTCATTGTGGCGCCTGCTCTTGCCTCCCTTGGGGGCTGTCACGGGCCCTGCTTTGGCAGTGAAGACTGGTCAGGATTTAGAGGTTGCTCAGACAACTGCTGCTTGGATGACGTGGTGACCTGTGAGGATGGGTCGCCCGGTGTCAGGAGTGGACTGTTGTGGGCAGCACCTCACGCTGGCAGCAGTGAAGCGTGTTAGCAGCTCCCTGTGCTCTAAGCAGGACACGTGCTTAGTCTCGGGGGTCAGAGGAGGCGCACGGGCTTCAGAGTGAGTGCGGCAGTTGCCAAAATCTTCACTCTTGGGCCCTGCACATTTAGCTGGTTAGGAACACAGGCGTTTCCTTCCGGAGTTTCAAACATAAGGCTGCTGCAGTCACATCACAGTAAAAACAAAAAAAGAAATTCCTATTTGCTTTTGCAAAAGTGCCATGACAACACGGAGTGTGGCTGCTATTTTTTATCTATTTTTTACATCATTTTTCCTTTCTTGCACAATGTTTGCATTTTCATCTTGATTATAGGCCCCATGCAATTCCCAGCACACTTGAAAACGTGAACACAGAATTAGAACAGGGTGCTGGGTGGTTACAGCATGAAGGATGGGGAGTAACAAAACTGGATGCACTTGACATCTAATCTAGTCTCTTGGGATCAGAGAATCATTAAGGAACTTTCCTTTTGCCCAATCCAGTGTCCACAGGGAAATCATGAGCTCAGAGCGTGGAGCAGGAGAGTGAGGTGTGGCTAATGAGACCGCGTGGAGGGCGGTAAATATCCTGTCTCCCTCGGTCCCTCAGACTGTCCAACCCGGGACCAGAGAGGACATGATTCCTGCCTGTGGAGCCCGACCTCTGCCCAGGGACCAGCCCTTGGCGCCCTCCTGAGATCCTGTCTGTGACACAGCCCAGATCCATCCTCAAGCGTCCAGGAGGGACTCAGACGCTCCATGGAGAAGCCCCCCTCACAGCCCCCACCCAGGTGAGTCTCAGAGCCCAGCTGGCACTTGGGACAGATCCAGAGAAAATGCAAACTGAGAAGTTCTGCCTCAGGTCACAGAGATCAAACCAGCCCAGGGACAAGAGGTTCCCTTGTTCTCTTGCTCGACTGACTCGTCAATTTATAATTAATTTACTTAATTTGTGACTCAAAACTGTCCAATGCTCTCAACAATACAGAGATGGTGCTGACAGTGAAGAGACAGGAAGGAAAACCTGTTAGGATGAGACTGAAGGGGGAGTGGGAGGCTTAACGTGGTTCCAGCAAAGTCAGGACTGATTCAGGAAGGTCTAGAGTTGAGGCAGCAGGAAATAAAGAGTTTAATGTGAAGGGGATGACGGGAGTGGTGGGGTGATGAGCAGGGCATCTGTGTTAGAGAGATCCAGGGTAATGGAGGCAGATGACGTCACAGAGCAGCTGAGGAGAGGAACAGTGTGCAGTGTTCCCTCAAAATAGATGCTCACAGAAGTCATCCTTTTTCTTGAATGTCAGTTGGGGGAGACTAAATAGTTTTACTTCACACCCACTCTAGTACTGGCCAATCTGCACAGTTTTGCTTGTTAGAATTTTGCTTTTTTCAATTACAAATTGTTCTCATTCTTACAGTTTATTTACTTACAGCCTGAGCTTTTATCTGGTTTTCTTTCAAATACTGAAATAGAATGGGAGGTTTTCACAATAAATACTTGGCAGTTAATTCTCCCATATATGTAGAGATTGTTGTACAAAATGTTTGAAAGTTTCCAATTTGTGTTTGGGCCTCAGTCGATCCTTTGTGTCCCATGATGTATGTTGAACACAGGCTGTTCTTGCAGTCTGAGTAGTACTAAGCTCTCATACACATTGTGTTCATGTCACATCTGTGTTTCCTCATTACTGTATCGCTTCACATTTGTGATGGGATCTGTTGTATTTTCATTGCTATTAGTTGACATGAAACAGTGTGAAAGTTGGAGACAAACATGTTGACTGGATATATTAATCTACTGCAATATGATGACCACTGCGGCACTAGTTGACCCTTCCTCAATACACACATTTAATATTTATTTTTGTCACAAAACGTTTCAGAAATAATCTCTTCACAACTGGGAAGGTTGCAGGAAAGCACTGCTGACTGCCACATGCAGTGGATTTGCAGAACCTTGTTCATTCAGTTACAAATGAATACATGAATAAATACATATGGACACAGGAAAAGGTTCTTTGATCTTAGGTATCTAGTGTCTTAAAATGCAGAGGAAATAACTTTCTTTACAACAATTTGGATAGGTGGCTCTTTGCAAAGTAAAACGCTTCCTATTTTCCTTGTCCTTAGTGATTTGATTCCAATTCTCAGCTCTGCCTCAATGCACAGGTCAAAATGCCCTAAGCGTGCATCAGAAAGTGTGTGAGTGGAGGAAATAAGGGAAATAAGCCTTATTACAGGTAAGGGAAACACAGATTGCACACCTCGCCCAAGTGGAAGCTGTCTTCCATAATCAAACATTCAGAATTCAGAAGAAATATGAGGGAAAGAAATTATAGTCTATGGCGGGATTAAATGAGGGATCATTTATGCATGTAACACATAATGCTCACACTTAGGCACAGCACACGTAACACAATCTACACACTAGAAGATGTACAATGTCATGTGCAGGAACTTCACACGGTAGCAGGATGTCGGGGCCTCCTGCCCACTCTCTCATCTCACCCCCAACCTAAAGCACCCACTCCGGTCACATCCCTACTTCGTGGATCTGTAACTGTGCCAAAAACACTCCTAAATTCCATCTTTTTCTGGCTATTTCCCCAAACCCAAATGTTCTTCTCATGCGTATATTGTTGCCACGTGATGTCTCCTTCATAGATAAATCCTGCTGCCTTCAGATATTTTTGTTCAAAGTCTGTTCATTGGAAGTGATTACACAAGATTCCTCTTGATTCTAACTCTTCATCCAACTACATTATTTTACCTAATAATAGTAATCACCATATGAAATATTATTTTCTGAGACCACACACATGCTTAGAAGAAAACTTGCTTGGGGCTTGGATTTTTCCTTTTTAAAAAAAATTATTTATTTATTACGCATGCACAGAAGAACAAGGAAGCAGGCCAAAGATGCAGTGAGTGAGGCACTCACCAGAGACAGAGTGGGGGGCAGGACAGGCAGATCTACTGAAATGCACTGCTGAGGGGAGCAGTGTGGAGACAGGAGAGGTCTGCTGTGCCATGTGGGTCACTCCCTGGCCGGGGATCATACTCAGGCAGTCCCAGTGGTGGCCCTGAGACTTAGCCCCGGTGCCACCAGGGACACCCGAGGGCTAGGATTTTTCAAAGTCAGTCTCACTGCTTTTTCTCCATGATTCCAACAATATTTGCATAATGCAATTGGTCAAATGTATTTAAAAGAAAGTATTAGGACATTTTCAAAGAAAATTTTGACTTGGAAATATGTTTACATTAGATGTAAAATGGCTAATTATTTTCAGTATCAGGAGAAGGTGAGTCACTTAACAGCCTTGAAAATTTCGGGTAACAGGTACTAGCTCTAAGACATGAAATTGATTAACTGAATGTATTTAAAATAAAATCACCCCATTTAACCTCATTCCGTGATTGCTCTGCTGTGGTTAAGTTTCCATCACTTCTGCCTCCATCCCCCAGGCTCACCAGCAACCTGGCGCCAGGAAACCAAACCCACGCCACAGCGTTCACCCTCCTGGGGCTCTCAGAAGAGGCCTCGCTGCAGCCCCTCCTCTTTGGGGCATTCTTGGCCATGTACTTGGTCACGGTCACTGGGAATCTCCTCATCATCCTGGCCATCGTCACGGACCCCCGCCTGCACACCCCCATGTACTTCTTCCTCGCCAACCTGTCCTTTGCTGACATCGGCTTCACCTCCACCACCGTCCCCAAGATGCTGCTGAACATCCAGACACAGAACAAAGCCATAACCTACGCGGGCTGCCTCAGCCAGACGTTTTACTCCTTACTCTTTGCAACAGTGGACAACTTCCTCTTGACAGCCATGGCCTATGACCGGTTTGTGGCCATCTGCCATCCCCTGCACTACATGGTCACCATGAACCCCCAGTTCTGCAGCCTCCTGCTTCTTGCATCCTGGGTGTTAAGTCTTCTGCATTCTCTATTACACAGCTTAATGGTTTTGAGACTGTCCTTTTGCTCACAGCTGCAAATCCCTCACTTCTTCTGTGAACTGGACCAGGTGATCCAGCTTGCCTGCTCTGACACCTTCCTCAATGAGCTGGTGGTATATTTAGCAACGGGGATTCTGGGGATCATTCCGCTCAGCGGCATCCTTTTCTCCTACTCTAAGATTGTGTCCTCTGTTTTGAAAATCTCCTCAGCGAGCGGCAGGTACAAAGCCTTCTCCACCTGCGGGTCTCACCTCTCCGTGGTCTCCCTGTTCTACGGGACGGTATTTGGCGTGTACCTCAGCTCTGCTGCTACCCATGACTCCAGGGACAGTGCAACAGCCTCGGTGATGTACGCGGTGGTCACCCCCATGCTGAACCCCTTCATCTACAGTCTCAGAAACAAGGACATAAAGCAGGCCCTGGTGAGGCTCTTTAGCTGCAGAGCAACCCCAAAGTGACGGGGGCCGCTTCCTCAGATTGTCTGGTCGGGAGCAGCAGGCCTCACAGTCCATGGACTAAGTCATGATCCTGTCCTCAGTCAATCAGAGATAATCTGTGCTTTGTCTTATGTACACAGTTTAACGTCAGTTTTTTTATGTATTATAATTTTTTTCTGCATTTCCTAAATAATTTTTATTTATTTATTTATACAAGCACTGGGTACAGTCAGAAGCGTGGAGGGCTGAGAATTCACCAGAGACAGAGTGGGGAACAGAACAGGCAGAATGACTGAAGTACACTGCTGAGGGGAGCAGCGGGCGGCAGGAGAGGTCTGCTGTGCCATGTGGGACCCTCGCTGGCTGGCGGGGATCGAACGAGTGCTGCAGAGGCTGCAGGTAGCTTTGCAGCCCAGTATTCAACCGCTGAGCCACCAGGGGAGGCCCATTCTAAATTAATTTGAACTGGTATGAACACTGGGAAGTGTTAAAAAAGAATCTGTGTGCCTTTTCTTCGGTGAAATGTTTAAAACAGGAAATTGGGTACTTACAAAATAATAGAAAGATGGAGGAAAATAGATACAACTCGATCAGGAAAAAATAAGCAATTTATGGATTATCTGCAGAAAAATCTTGTGATATCACAGTACCCATGTGCGTCCAGGGCTAATATTCACTGTCCCTTACTTTCTCCTTTACTTCCTTCCTTTCGATGCTTTATTGTTGACCCATAATATTCCTGTTCATGTCATTTTGCTCAGGGTTTGTGTCATTTTTTCTTTCTAGTACATGAACTCCTGTCAGTTTTTATGGTGAGGCAGGCAGTCCTGAGGGTGACAAACTCATTGGCTTCTCTGTCTGGGAAGCCTTTATTCACATTCAAATTGAATAATTTTGCAGCAGAGAGTGCTCTTTGCCCGAAGTCTTTGTGTTTAGGATGATGAGCACTTCCTTCTGTTAGGGAGCACTGTATGGAATTAGCTTTAGGACATCCTTTTCCCCCTAACACTTCCTCTCCTTTCCAGGAGGGTGACTGGGGGAAAATCAGAGGAAAGCCTACCTTGGACGCCTTTGCAAATCCTCTTCCATTCAGGCCTCCTGTACATCTTCTCTTTTTTTCTGATTTTTTTCTGATTTAACAGTGGGGTGTCATGGTGTAGGTCATTTTCACCTTGAAAGTTGAGTGTTCAACTCAAGTTGAAAGTTGAGTTCCTGGACATGTGTGCTTATTTCACTCTCGGTTTGGAAAATTCTCAGCTGTGGTTTTTTGAAGAGTGTCACTCCTCTCTTCTCTCTTCACCTTCCGGATTATCCACGTCTGTGGAGTCTGACGTTTTTTGTAGCGTTTCCTTATTTTTCCTGTGTCTGAGTCTCATTTCTCTCTGTTTTCCTAATTGGGTCATGTATATACTGGGATCCTCCATTTCTGAAGTTATTTCATTGGCCCGTTTAATTCTATTTAACACACTTCCTATATTTGTGTTCATTCACATTCAGACAGTCTTTTGTGTTCTCTTAAACTTGTCCAGCTCTTTGGTGAAGACTCTCTGGTTCTTTTATCTTCTTTCAAAGGTCTTGCAGATGCCTCTCTGCATTTGAGTTGTTTTCCCATAACTCACGGGTGTATTTACTGTTGTTGCTCCACGTCACTGAGACTCCTCTGCTTCTCTCTCCTGTATTAATGAACCAGAACTTCTGTTCGGCTGCTTTTTTTCCTCTGGTGCTCAGATGTTCCTTGATCTAAGTAATTATGTCACCTCGTTTCCAGGTTTGCAGCTGGCGGGCTGTGGTGAGATTGTTCCTCTTCTAGCTTTCCAGGCTTCTGGTGGAGGCAGTGGGGAGTCTGGGGCTGAAGAGTTGTCTCAGTTTGCTGAGACGTGAACTCTGTCACCTCCACCTCCTCCCCTCTCTCTCACAACAAGGTCCAATTGGTCTTCAGTTGTCCTCACCTCCCTCCCCACCTCTGTCTGGTAATTCCTGCCACAGGCTGAGTCTCCTGGTGACTGGAGCAGGGTCTAGTCCACAGGGTTCAAGCTGTGGAATCAGCTGACCCTGATATGTAGGAGGCACCTATGTGGGCTTGTGCCCACTGCACACATGTGGAAACAGGTAATGACCACCACAGGCACCAGCCCTGCTGTCCACTGAGGGACCCGGTTGCAAATGCTGCAAGTCTGCTTGATACGTTGTAAAGAAGTGCTGTGTTCTCTGTCCCACCGTCCTTTCGCTGCTCTGGGATCCATTATGAAGCCCTCTGGGCTCTGCCTGAAAACTCTGATTTCTTAACTCTGGTAGAGGGTGCAGATTTCCTTTCCTGGACTGGTCACTGAGCTCACAGGGTCCCAGGGCAGAAAAGGAAACACTTATATATTGTTGATGGAATGTAAACTTGTGCATCTATTATGGAAAGCTGTAAGGAAATACCTCAAACATTGAAGAATGTAAGTTTCCTGTGATGCAAATGTCTTACTTCTGAGTATTTAGCTGGAAAATACACACAAAAAGCACTAATTCCAAGAGGTGTTTTCCATCCATGTTCACTGCAATGATATTTACAATAGCCAAGAGGTAGACAAAACCCAAATGTCCACTGATTGATAAATGTCCAGAAAGATGTAGTGTATGTAGATAGCGGAATACTATTTAAATTTGGAAGAACAAAATGATAAGAACAGAATGATCCTTTCTGAAACAAGCCAAGCAGAGAAAGTCAAATACCATGTGATTTCACTCTTATGTAATAAAGAAAACAAATAAACAGATCATGTCAACAAAACAAAATATGCTTTTGGACTATATAAGAACAATTAGTGGCTAACACAAAGATGGGAGGAGGGAGTTGGTTTATCAGAAACAAGGATAATGGTATAATGACAGATAAATGTAAACTTTTAGTACTGAACTTAATGTCACATACACATATGTTGATTAATAATCATGCAAGGCCTCCCTGGTGGCGCAGCAGTTGAGCACTGGGTTGCGAAGCTGCCCGCAGCCTCTGCGGGGCCGGTTCGATCCTCGGCTGCTCCCCGGCCACCGGAGGAGGGTCCCGCATGGCGCGCAGATCTCTCCTGCTGCCCGCTGCTCCCCTCAGCAGTGTCCTTCGGTCCTTCTGCCTGCTCTGCTCCCGCTCTGTCTCTGTTGAATTCTCTCACCCTCCCACGCATCTGACTGTACCCAGTGCATGTATAAACAAAACAAACAAACAAACAAACAAATAAATAAATAAAACATGCCTCTATAAAAAAATAAAGTTTAAAAAAAATAATAATCATGCATACCTCAAATTTATATAACGTTACAATGCAAGGTTACTTCAGTGTAATAAATGGAAAGGTAAACTCACAGGAAATGGAAAGAATTTCATGGGAGTGTCTCCTTTAATAAATAGCTCTGTATTAAAATTAACATGTTTCACTGGAGAAAACACATGTAAATTGGATTATAAATAAAAGAGGAGAAATCACAACAGACTCAGTAGAAATCAAGAGACTAATCAGAGATTACTATGAACACTTACATACAAACAAACTCAACAACCTAGAAGAGTTGGACAAATTCCCAGAATGACATAATCATCAAAGCTGAACAAAGAAGAAATAGAACAACTAAACAGACCAATTACAAGCAGCCAAACTGAGGCAGTATGAAAGCACTCCCCAAAAACAAAAAGATTCACAAATGAATTCTACCAAATGTTCAGCAGTGAATTAGTGCCTATCCTACACAAAATCTTTCAAAAAGTTGAAAAAGAAGGAATACTACCAAATACATTCTACGAAGCCAAATTACACTAATACCAAAACCCAACAAAGACAGCCCAAAAAAAGATAATTACAGGCCAATCTCCTTAATGAACACTGATGCAAAAATCCTCAACAAAATCCTGGCCAACTGAGTCCAACAATGCATCAAAGGGATAGTACACTACAATCAAGTGGGATTCATCCCAGGGGCACAGGGATGGTTCAACATACGAAAATCAATCAGTGTAATCCAACACATCAACAAAAAGAAAAATAAGAACCATATGATCATATCAATAGATGCTGAGAAAGCATTCGACAAAGTCCAACAACCATTTATGATGAAGGCCCTTGAAATTCTCGGGATAGAAGGAACATACCTTAACATGATAAAAGCCATATACGACAAACCCATCGCCAATATTATTCTCAATGGCGAAAAGCTGAAGGCCTTTCCTTTAAGATCAGGAACAAGAAAAGGCTGTCCTCTCTCACCACTGCTCTTCAATATAATACTGGAGGTCTAGCCAGGGCAATAAGACAAGAGAAAGACATACAAGGAATCCAGATAGGGAAAGAACAAGTAAAACTAACGCTATTTGCAGATGATATGATAATATACATAGAGAACCCTAAAAACTCCATAGAAAAACTACTCAAAATACTCAACCAGTTCAGTAAAGTAGCAGGATACAAAATCAACATGCAAAAATCAGTAGCCTTCCTATACACAGTCAGTCTGAAGAAGAAATCAAGAAAACCATCCCTTTTATAACTGAAACAAAAAAAAAATCAAATACTTGGGAATAAACCTAACAAAAGAGGTGAAAGACCTTTACAAAGCAAATTATAAAACACTGTTAAAAGAAATTGAAGTAGACACAAAGAAATGGAAAGAAATCCCCTGCTCATGGATTGGAAGAATCAACATTATTGAAATGGTCATCCTCCCTAAAGAAATATGCAGAAACAATGCTATTCCAATAAAAATCTCAATGACATTCTTCAAAGAAATAGAACAAATACTGGGCCTCCCATTGGTGGCACAGGCAGTTGAACACCGAGCTGTGAAGCTTTCCGCAGCCTCCGCAGTGCCAGTTCGATCCTGGCCAGCCAGCGAGGGTCCCACCTGGTGTGGCATAACTCTCCCGTCTCTCCTGCTGCTCCCCTCAGCAGTGTATTTCATAAATCTTCCAGTTCTGTTCCCCGCTCTGTCTCTGGTGAATCCTCTTATCCTTCCGTGCATCTGGCCTGTACCCGAGTTCTTGTATAAAA